GTACACAAGAGACTAGGGCATTGAAAGTCATAGACTTGGCACTATGGATAGAAGCACGATAGATTGGGCGGAGACTAGAGCTAGTTGGCTAACAGTAGACGTGTTTGATCATACATGTGATCCATGAAGCAAAGGCTTGACTATGAGAATTACTCAGGGTCTTTAGTCTTGAGTTAGTCTCCCAGAGGCAGAGTGTGGGAAATAACGTCTCGGGTACCACAGATAGGGTGGCAAGGGTCGAGTGAATTACTTGAACCAGGGATATAGCAGACGGATTGTGCGAGGCAAGAGGGAGACTTATGGGAAGAGGACCGCGTGACAATATTGCAGACTCAGATCAACATTCCCATCACAAGGATGAATGGGAGTGAGAGGGGTGAGAAAGCCAGTGTGGGGTGTGGATAGTTCTCATTAAATTCACTGAAAAGGGCACATCATGAGACATTTAAATATGCAAGTAAAAATTGTGATAGTGAAGGGGTGATACGAGGATATAATATTGGTGATTAGCACAGGGCGGAAGGAGAGATAGCACGATTGTTTAGCAGACAACTGGTCAAAGGATCGGCTTCTATTGTCTCTATGACGAGTTATAGTGTTGTTCTAAGACCGGCGAGGCTCACTGACGATGTCGGCGAAACGTCTGTGAATCTACCACGTCCACGGTCCGACTCTGGAAATTATCAGGCATACAATGAACTCCGGACTAGTTGCGTTTCTCTAAGTCTTCCTACCAATATGGCTAAGTTGCGAAAACAAGGTTAAACAACTTCTATACAATGAAAGGATTCTACGACCATAAAAAAGGCCACACCATCTTGGTCTTCATACCTTCGATTAAAACTGTTTTGTTTGCATTACTTTTGGATTCTTACAATTTAAACATTGAATTCCCACTATTTTACAATGATTTATCTCTATTAATCATTACCTTTCCAGCTCCATGTCAGAATATCCACTGGCATCTATAAAACCCGAACTTGTTCAGCCGATCTCTAAATTGCTAAGAATTAGTGGATTCACGACTATTTAAACTTTAATAATAAATATTTGCAATAAATGTTAATGTATTTGAACTCAACCTACACAAGTAGACTTTATTCATGGGAAAGGATCCCAAGGAGAACGAGACATATCATATACAGGATGTCTTAGCAATCGCATATGAGATGGACATTTATGCTAGGCTTGATTTAATTGTCTTACTATTGCTCTATCCTCTATTTATATGTTCTTAATCAACTCTACTGAAATTTGAAGATATGAAGACCAGGATGGTGTGGCCTTTCGTGTAGGCGCAGTCTCCTTTTGTTGTATAGAAGTTCTTTAACCTTGGTTTCGCAACTTGGTCATATTGGTAGGAAGACTCAAAGGAACGCACCTAGTCCAGGGTCCATTGTATGCATGATAATTTCCAAAATCAGACCATGGACGTGGTACACTCCCAGATTTTTCGCCAGAATCTTAGTCGGCATCGTCAATGAATCTTGGCATTCGTCAAAGAGACAAGTTAAGCCGATCATTTGACCAAATGTGTGCTGAACAGTTGTGGTATCTCTTCTTCTGTTATGGGCTATTTATCTATCCTACATCCTCGTATCACGCCTTCACTATCACAATTTTTTTCCTTGATTATTTATATCTAGTGTGGTGTTCCCTTTTGAGCGGCTTTCATAAGAACCCTTCACTCTACTCTGGCGTTCTCTCCCCCCATCACTCTTGTGCTGGGAATGTTGATCAGAGTCTTCCACATTTTTACGCAGTCCTCCTTCCCTAGGTCTTATCAGAGTCTCCCTCTTGCCCCGTAGGATCCGTCTGCTATCTCCCTGGTTCAAGTATTTCACTCGACCCCTGCCACCCAATCTATTCTCCACAACGCTTTATTATCCATCCCCTGCGCCTAAGTGATTAAGTCGAGGCTAAAGCCTCTGAGTAAGTATCATGGTCAAGCCTTTGCTACATGGACTAGAACTAAATAAGTAAGGAAAAACTTGTGATAGTGAAGGCGTGATACGAGGATATAGGATAGGTGAATAGCCTAGGGCAGAAGGAGAGATACCACAACTGTTTAGCACACGTTTGGTCAAAGGATCGACTTCACTTCCCCATGAGAAGTTGTAATATGGTGCTAAGAATGGCAAGACTCATTGACGATGCTGACTACGATGCCGGTGAAACGTCTGTGAATGTACCACGTCCACGGTCTGACTTGGGAAATTATCATGCATACAATGGACTCCGAACTAGGTGTGTTCCTCTAGGTCTTCCTACCAATATGACCAAGTTGCGAAAACAAGGCCAAACAATTTCTCTACCGAAATTTATTGTGTCTTCTCCAGATTTTTATTTGTGAACACGTCATTCCTCATGCACGCGCATTCGCAATATGTACGTCTAAGGAAACTGGTTCTTACATACATTGTTACTATTCACTCGGGCTTGAATGCTTTCCTTCTCATGATAGAGTAGTATATGTTGGCATAAACATGTCCGAGCAAATGGCGCACAGATAATTTTACGGCTCCAGTATTGTATACTATAAGCATCCACAACTTTGTTGGTTGCGTTCTTATGCCAGTAATATGCCTGATGCTGTCCTGATTGTCTATATTTTGGTTCATGAGATAGTTTAATAGATTTTTTAATCGTGCTATGAATTTTAGCTTTGGGGCAGATGACTTTCTCCTGTCAAACACTTTTTCACACGAGTCCATTCTTACTCTTCTGTGTGTCCATATTCGTGCTGGAGTGGACGAGTTCAGTATTTTCCTTCCGGATTTAGGTAGCAATTTGTACATGAGTTTTTATACATTGTTTTCAATCTTGTTAATATTGATCAACTGGCCCTGGCCAGATTAATTCTTGCTTATTTCCAGAACTTAATCGTTTAATACAGCATGTTTATTTTATCATATTTCTTACCTTTTAGCTTCGTGTTCGTCCACCTAATTTGATCCGCCGATTCCCTCATTCATCAGTCTCTTCTGCTTGTCTTCCTCCTGGTCCATCGTCTTTCTCCATTCATCGTGATGCCAAGCCCAGCGGCTCTGGCTTGCAGAAGAGTCACAAGGAGGAGCAACTTTCCTTTGGCTTTTCTGCTGTATCTCGAGTCAACCCATTAATCCAAGAAAACTTGGACCATGGGGCTAGTGAAATAGGGTCAAAATGCACTCCTACTACGGTTAATAATTGCAGTGAAACTATTATTGCTGACACAACTACTACTGGTGGCAATTGCAGTCACAGCACTTTGGCCTTTCGTTCAGATGCAACTCGAAATTCTGCAAATAAGCCCAATGGACCTTTGAATCGTAACTCATCAAAAGCTGTCGGTCAAATTTCGCCCCAAAACGGCTTTTCTGCTTCTGCAATTGCCAGTTCTATGTCTGCTCCTACTACTTCGGTTGGTTCTCTCAAGCCATGTTCTGACCATCCGGGTTCCACTGCGATCGGCACGTTCCACTTGCCTGGAAACCTTAGCCCAGCCAGTATTTCATATGGGGAGGCCTTTAATGAGCTGGCGACTTCCTACGCTTGTCTAGTAGAGTTAAATACCGATGGCTCGGACAGAGACCCGATTCGTGGCGACCCACCCCCACTCATAATTGCTCTTCCACTTCACAAAGGCAGGGTAAGAGCTCTTGTTTTTTAATAAACATGTATCGCTTTTATGACAATTGCCCCAATCTTTTAGCTTTGCTTAATTAGCTTTTTCATTTAAAAGATGATTTTATATGGATTAAAAACACAAGATCGTGTATACGGTAGACATGATTGTTAGAAAAATGTGTCCTTATTTACTATAAGCTCTTTTAATCTGTATTATTTTGTTTAAATTTATCCCATCAATTTAGCCATGTTTACTATTACACTCCAAAGGTTATCTAGCTTGTCGTTTGCCTCATTTTAGTTATGTTTTTTTCCAGCACCATGTGTTTTTCTGGCTGATGCCATAATTACAATCATACATATTTATTCGAAGGAATGGAGACCAAAATGGTGTTTCCTTTTGTGTGGTCACAGTCTCCTTTCGTTGTATAGAAGTAGTTTGATCTCGTTTTCGCAACTTGGTCATATTGTTAGGAAGACTTAGAGGAACGCACCTAGTCCGGAGTCCATTGTATGCATGATAATTTCCAGAATTGGACCGTGGATGTGGTACATTCACAGATGTTTCACCGGCATCGTCACTGAGTCTTGCCATTTTTAGCACCACACTAAAACTCGTCAAAGAGACAAGTGAAGTCGATCCCTTGACCAAATGCGTGCTTAACAGTCGTGGTATCTCTCCTTCTGTCCTGGGCGTCTGGGAGTGTACCACGTTCACAGTCCGACTCTAGAAATCATCATGCATACAATGGACTCCAGACTAGGTGAGTTCCTCTAAGTCTTCCTAACAATATGAGCAAGTAGCGAAAACAAGGTAAAACTACTTCCCTACACATTTATGCCTAGTTATTGGTCTCCGTTTAGTTTTACCTAAATGAAAATGTTCGTTTGTTTTGCGATTTTGCTTATAGGTAACATATCTGATCCACTTCATTCACTTTTGCTAGATGATAGGATTAATAGGAGTGCGGATTTTGATTTGTCATTTGAAAGAAATTTATAATAGCTTATGCTAGGACTAATGTTTATTG